TTTCTGTTTGTGTGCCCATTTTTTTTTTTTTTGGTTTAAAAAAAAAAAAAAAAGAAAAAAAAAAAAAAAGTGATATATCAAGATGAGGGTCTCAGTAAAATAGACTCTCTTTTATGGCAAAGTAAATGTGAAAGGAAATAACTTATTTTTAATTTGACCTATAGCCATGTAGCAAACCTCTAATTGTCTCATTCATGTGATAAAGAATAACTGAGATGTTTACTTTCTTGCTTCCTATTGAAATGAAAGGCCCCCTTCTGAGCTTTTGAGATAGTTTGGTAGCTGTTGAAAAGTCTCTAAACTAGGTAATCAACAAAGTCTTCATACAAATCAACAATACTGTTGAATAGGAGAGGGACTTTTCATCATTAGAGGCTGAAAGAGAAAGAATTAGAATAAACTGAAGGAAAACAAAGCAGGAGTGAAGGCAAGTTGTAGTCTGCCTTTGCATGTTTTAGTAGTTTGTATCTGCCTGCTCATCCGTCGGAGATTCTGTTAGTTTTGTGTCTTCTAAAACCTTTGTCTGCAAGAAATAAGTTCAAGTCCTTAACTGTCAGGACTGTTTTTAAGAGAAAAAAAAATCATCTGAGTTCATCCCTATGTTATTGGCTTTGAAGATAATTCTTCAACCAGCTGTTACAGAATATATTATGACATAAAGTACAAAATAACTGTGTGAAATATATTAAGCCATAGCAGAAAGTGGAAAATAAAGGATTTTATTGCCTTCTTTATAGAATTAAAAATTCAGAAAGCTTAGTTTTTTTCAATAATTCCTTTTTCCACAAAATATGTTCAGACTTTGGTGTTCTGGATTTTTTGTTTTGTTTGGTTATTTTCTGAAAAATATTAGAAACACAATTATTTAGGACTTCTCTGACCTTTTTTTTTTTTTTTAAAAAAAAAAGGCGATTTAAATCAATTTTTAATGCGAATGTTCACTTTTTAATGAAAATTTTAAAATGAAAGCTTTCAAGTTTCAGGAGAAATGGCAGAGAGACCAGAATCAGCTTGGTAGGCCTTGCTGGATTTTGAGCAAGCCCTGCGTTTTGCGTCTCGTGTGCTTCCTGAAAATCAGAGGGTGCTAAGTTGCTGCCTCTCCTTAGAGCTCCAATTTCGTATTGACAAGCTACTAGTTGGACACACAAGCGCTGCTTCTTAGTCCTGCGAGTAGGGCAAGTGCCTTGGCTGTGGCCAAGGACAGGGCAGGACCCGCCGATGTCACGTGCTTTGTGCTGGGGACCTGGATTTTCTGGAGCTGCTGCTTTTTTTAGCACTGGGTAGTTTTGCATTTTGGTCTCCTGGGGAGTCAGGAGCATTTTGAACTTTCAGAGCATTGTGGAGTGTAAAAGTCTTTCCCACACATTTTCTTTCAGCATCTCTGGGATGTAGTAGCTGTTTTGTACAAAAACGAGAGTTTGGTATCTCAAGATAAGTAGAGGTTAGTGCTTTAGCTGTTTTGTGACTACATTTGTTTACCTTTAGTGACCAGGACTGCATCCAGTTTTGAAAATAGTAGCGACCCTCCTAGGGTCTGAGACTGCAAACGTCATTGTGAATGACTAACAGTGTCACACACACGTTCAATTAATGCGGTGGGCTGTTCTCCGAGGGCTCCTTTTGGGAAGGTTTGTCTAAGCCTTCTCCAGGGAAGCAGTGTCCCTGTTCAGAGTTGTGTCTTCAAACTGGGAGACAAATAAAATAACAAATTGATTTTTACAAATGATTTTACAAATGTAAATTTACATTTACAAATTCGAATCATGCCTGAGCAAAATTTAAATGACTCAGTCCCACACAAAGGACTAGCTCCTTTGGAGATGTCAGGAGAAATTCCCAAGTGCAAAATAGCAGCGACTTTTCCTTTTTAGATGGTCACTCTCCTACATGCTAAAGCTTTGAGGAAGTTTATGCATCATTGTAATTGCAACATTTGCTTTGTATTTCAAATGGAGTATCTTGCTCCTCTTGTCCTGGCTTTTCTTCTGATTGCACACTGAAGTGCTTGCTCAAGTCATGTACAAAAACAAACCTTTCTTTTCTAGATGGGTGGAGCAGGTGGAGTGTAAAGCAAGTAAATTAAATTTTTTAGCTATGGAACTCAGATTAAAAATCAAATCACTCAACCTCTGTTTATTTCTATAAAGCAATTGCCATTTCTTGTTCCTTGCTCTGGCCTGAATATCCATACTAAATAGTTTCACATGAAATCTAGTATTTTTGTACCATAGAGGTTACCATGCAATGTAAAAATGTAATGATTTAAATTACAAGACTATGCAGGATTACTTGTATTTTCCTGGGAAAGCTGCTTGATGGCATTGAAAGCTTAAAGGAAAGAAATATTGATTTTTTTTTTCAGTAGTCTTTATCAATTTTGAGAGAAATTTTCAAGCTGTTTTTCATGTATATCTGGGAATCGTAGTGGGGAGAAGATAGAAAGCAGTGACATCACTCACATTGTAGAAAGGTACAACTGAAACATGTTCTGTCTTTTCTAGAAGAACACTTGGTTTACTGTACACTCTCACAATTCTATTTGTGCAGGAAATTATCTTTACCAACTGTATTCTTGTAGGTCACAAAGTGATTATGAAAAGCTCTTCAAAAACTGCTTCTTTCCGCTTTTTGCATTACCCTCTCCAGAAGGATTCAATTGCTATTGCAATTAGCAGGTCACATCTGTCACACCTTTGCCCAGACACAGCCCCGTGTTATGGCCCCATGCAGTTATCCTGCAGAAGTTTGTCCATTTAACTCACTACTACCAGGTATCTGCACTGAAGGCTGGTGTTTCCATGTCTGTTGGGGCAGGACACAGCCATGCTCACTGAACTCACTGAAGGTCAGTTAGGATTCCCTCAGAAATCCAAAAGGAATCCAGTTTGTACTTTTAAATCTGCTTTTAGTGTATCACTCCATTGTAATCTTAAGATATCTTTGTTTTACTGTGCTACATTCCAGAGGGATTTAATCTAGTTGTTGTTTTTAGTTACTTTTGTATTTCATGCTCTGAACTTCCGTGGATACGTATGAGCTAACCATTCCCTTTTCTCTTTTTAGGGACCTTTGTCGACAGGATAAAGAATGTGAATATTACTTCAGCATAGATGCAGATGTTGTACTGACAAACCCAAAGACTCTAAAAATATTGATAGAGCAGAACAGGTGTAGTATATCTCTCGACTTTACTGAACTTCTTCCAGATCGAAAGAATTTTGAGTGCCCATTTTTTGTAATTGTTTCCTTGCTCAGAAGGGTGTTATTGTAAGAAAACTCAGATTAATTCCCCTTTTCAACCTTCTACAGTGGTTATTTTGCTGTAACTGTTGCTGTAGCTTTTCTGGCTGAGGAACCGCCTTGTTCACCTTTGCTGTATAGTAGTAAACTCTAAGCTGTTCCAGTGGAAAACTTTGAAGCTAATCTTACATGCTTTTGGGGTTAATGTACCTTTATTCAGGTACATTAAACCAAAAATGATTGTGTCACATGAGAGAATTGTTTCAAGAAACAAAACCTGTCTGTTCTTGCAGAATTAGAGCTCTTGTCTGCTTGCGGTGTTTGCTATGCGCTTAATAACAGGCTTGGGAGGAGCAATGCTCAAAGCATTTTGTTTTTGTCAAGCAGCAATTCCTGATGTGAATTTCAAATATTTGAAAGCTGTTCTGAAGACAGCAGTATGGTGTAAATACTGCTTTATGGAATGATTCAAGATTTCAAGGACTGGTGGCAGTCATGCATAAAAGGAAAAAATATATATATAGCTTATTGTTGATGTTGCAGTATTACTACTCCCTTTTTAGAGTACAGATTATTTAGTTTAAGGAATAGACTCTTTTCTTGGGACTAAGGCAGATCCCTCACTGAGTAATGAGCCTGGGAATATCCAGCGCATCACACAGAAAGGTGAATTATCAGTGTCTGTATTAAGCTACTGCTGAGAAGGGATTGAGCTTAGTTAAAGATATGGCTGCCAGTGCTGTGTGTAATGTTTTTTGTAAAAATTCCCATTTTATAAAGAGAGAGAAAAAGTCAGGTATAAGTCCTGGAAGAAGCAGGATTTTTTTTTTTCTACTTAACTTTCCATTTTTGACTTCGTATTGAACTTTGGGAAAGCTGGAATAATTTGGATTCATGAAGTTGCACTAGACTTGTGTGTTCTTATTATTAAAAGTTATTTTGCAGAAAGATACTTGCTCCACTTGTGACTCGGCATGGGAAGCTTTGGTCCAATTTCTGGGGTGCTTTGAGCCCAGATGGCTACTATGCTCGATCAGAGGACTATATTGATATTGTCCAAGGGAACAGAGTGTAAGTAATTGTGGGTTAATGTTTGATATCATGGCACTCATATACTGTTTTTAGCAACGTATTCTTATTTTCTGTATCATCTTATGTTAGTTACATTGTTAATTTTTTTTTTCCATTTCATAGATATGTTTGCATTTTCCCTTTGCTTCCATTTCACAGCCTGAAGTAGAAAAGCAGAGTGTTTAATGCAGTGAGGTAGTGCTAGGAATAAGTCATGACTGATACCTGTCTGATTGTGTCCAGTTACTCTAACTGTTTTATATAAGAAATGGCAAAACAAAGAGATAGTAAAGCAAAAGGGTTATAGTTTCTGCCTATGTCTGAAAAACCTCAGTCAAAAGGAGTCACTGATGCATGTGTCAAATGGCTGTAAGTACTGCTACTATTCTGGACAAGTAGCATATTTAATCATCATATAACTCAACAAATATAACTTGTTTCTTAATGTGTTTCTTTTTGTATATTATGTCAGGTTTATCGTACAGGTCTCTTGAAAGGCCGTGAAACAAAATATTTCTCAGGTTACACCCTCCTCTATACACCCTTCTCTAAATTAATGCAATTTAAGCTGATCTAAGCTTGACTTTCACATGCAGTCGCATTTTTTTCCTTGCCCTGAAAAAACAAAAAGGTCCAAAGCAGACTGACCGTTTGAGCAGGGCTGGCTGGTTTTGACTTGCGCTGAAAGATGTGCTCTTGGCTGTGGGAGACTTGGCACAGAGAGGGAGGAAAATCTGCAAGGCAGGCATTGTACAAGAGCAACGCTTATTTGTTGATATTGGCCCAATTCACGTAAATATATGGCCTGCTGTGGTCAAGGGTATTTGTGTGAGGAGGTCAGAACAGCTGTGTGAAGCCTCAGCACAGTGTTTAAAATCTTCTAAAAAGCCTGTTTTAGCATTGCTGTCTTGATCTGGCAGCGTAGAATAATACTATAGTATAAAGGAATTTGATTGATAGTCTTAACTGCACAAACATGAAGTACATTTGTAGCTGAAACTTTCCTTGGAGAATTTGACCTTTTTATGAAGTATTGTCATGAAAAAAACAAAAATTGAGTTAGTGCCTACGCCTACATTTGGGATGTGATCCCTTTATGTCCAGCTGTAGTTTTTCACATGTCTTGGGAAGCTTTCAGCTGCGTTGCCTTGAAGCTCACTTCGTCTTGTCAACAGAGATGCTGATTTAGGAGAATATACAACAAATCACAGCTTCAGTGACTAACGTAAGGTGCAGCTGTAACAGCTTGCTTTTAAATATAATACACACAGACTTCTCTGTGTCCTGCTACACTTGACTGCTTCACTGGATTGATCTTGGATTTTATATTTTTACTTCTAATTAAAAGTACTGGCCAATTTTTGTGAGATATTAGAATGTTTTAGGTATATATCTTTAAAATATTGACAAGAGTGAAGCTTTTTCCATGGTCAGTGGATTGGTGCACTGGCTACATGATGGTTTCTATTTTATGCACATTGAAAAATCCTATTGAGGTTAAAATATCTTGCTTGTTGACAGGGCCTCAATAGGATGAGAGCTCTATTTTTCCCTCTTGCTGTATATGACTTTAAATTTAATCAATGCATTTAGAGCTTCTCTGCTAGCCACATTTTTATACAATGTGGAACTTCTAGCAAAAAAAGTTGGAATATTTAGCAATTTTATGGCTGAGTTGATATATTTTTAAGCTAGATGGTAGACAGCGTTGACATAAAAATTCTATGTGATTCGTGAAACGGTATTAGTTTTATTAATGGGTGTGGATTCCTTAGTTTTCTAGATACAATTTTAATTGATTAGAAGTTTTTGTTACTTGCATTAAGCTGTAAGTAATACGAGAAAACGTATTTGTACTGTAAAAATATGAATATGTAAATCCAGATTTCTACTGATATCTACACTAGTTTCAGCACAGAAACAAATAAGAGCTAAACCAGACCTATTTCCAGACACTATAGCATTGAAAAATAATTATGCTGAATTGAACAAGAAAAGTTGGCAAGTATTAATTTTTTTATTCCCTCATAACAAGGCATGATTTCCTTTGTTTGTGCTGATTCTTCGGAACATCCCAGTCCAAAGCCTCTTGTTTTTAAACCTTTGCAGCATCAGTTATTGCAAACCTGCGCTTCCCGTGTGCTCGTTAAACTAATCCAACTCTGGCTCATCAGAAAGTTGCCTTCTCTTTTCCTCTTTCTCAGTCTGTGCTGCGAGACGGTCTGGTACTTGCTTGTTTTTGTATTGCAGCAGATAAGGAGGGGCTGGTGGAAACAGCTTTGACATGTACATTATGAGCTTTGCTTGGAGATGCATGTTGTCTGTAAAGGCATATCAGCTTTTGGTCAAAGGCTGCTACTTCCCTAACGTAACTGTGGAGATCTAATAGTACTTGGACAAAGAGAAAGAAACTTTGTATCAGTCAACTGATGTGATGATTCTCCTTCATTTTAGACTTTACAAAGGGAAAAAGACTCCCCTTCTTCGGAAACATTCCATATGCTCAGACCCCCAAAGGTGTTGCTTTAATTTTTTTTTATTCATTAGTTGTTATTACATGGAGTATTATTTTTCCACGGGAAGATCCTTCTCCTCTGTCAACTTGCTCTCAGTAAAATACTGCTCTAGCTTTCTCTTCGGTCTTCTAAGGTTCAGGCTTTCACCAGGAACACATTCTTCTTAACCAGCCCAAGACTTTAGAGATGCCTGTTGTTCCCCCAAGGAGGTTTCTTGGTGCTTCCCAAGTCCAGGTCCATTAGAAACATGTCAGCATAAGCATCCATTGATCTGTGCATCAGTAGCTAAATTTGGTTCAGCAGTCCAAGGAAGGAAGGAGGGGAGCCTTGGCTGTAAACTCTGATCACGTGTGTGGCAAAGTTGCTTCTCACTCCAAGTACATTGATTTATCCCAAATGTTCTGGCATATTTTTCAAGGGGATAAACTCTTCAAAGGAATTTTTGTACAGCTGGATTTTCCCCCAACCTTTTCAAGACTCACAATGATACAAAATCAGAAAAAAACTCAAATCACTAGCAGGTAAATCAAACCCCATGGCCACATAAGACAGGTGTGAAATCAGTGTCATTTAAAGCTGTTTTTCTTCTCCTGGACCCTCCTTATTCTTCTGCTGCAGCTACTTAGTGATTTGGTAAGAACCCAAAAATGGGCACATGTTTAACATAATCATTATCATTCTGACAATTTAACTCTTTTTCAGACAGAAACACATATAGAAGTAACAAAATACCCAAATGGGAATGCCTTTATTTGCTGCAAATCTAAAAGTGGCAAACAATTCTAAAACGAGGTTTTAGTCTGAAAAACAGTAAAATAAGAAAAAACTAAATTTCTTCTTTAAAAATAAAGTATTTATTATTTCTAATAAAGAGTTATTTTAATTTCTTCTATTACTAGCTTGTTAATAGAGCAGGATGACAGCACACTTAATATTCTGCACATATTTTGCAATATCTTCTTGGAGGAGCCCAATTAAAGTACTCAGCTGTTTTGTACCTTGATCTGAATCATATTGTGTGTTGTATTTGCCAATATCTTTTTATTTCAGGCCGATTTGCCAGAAGGATCATGCAATTACTACTCTGAAATATATTTCTTGTTCTGATTTCCATTAGCCCTTTCTCTTTTAGCTCATTCTTTTAGTATTTGATCAGAAATGAATCTTTAGATGATCACTTGCTTTATGATTGTTTTCAGTAAGAGAACTAGTACTTCCAGTATCTTAAATACTCTGTGTGTTCTGCTTTAGCTTTTATTGTGGGAGTGGGATGGGATGTTTTTTCCTTTCTATAAACATAGGTGTTTTTTTTTTATGAGCAACATATATGTTTCATTTGATTAGAAAATGAATTCAGGCAAGTGTTTATACATATATTTTTAAAAAGCACTAGTACTAGACTCATCACAATCAATCATTTCAAGATCTAAGATACTCAGAAGTAAAAATGAAAAACTTAATTAATGTGTATGTAAATGTATATGTAAAACTGTATGATCTTTGAGAACAAGTGCAGGCATAAATGAACGCACAGACTTCTTTGAAATAGACAATTTTTCTAATGACATTTTCTTCTGTTTGGTATAGGGAGTTTTCATGTACATTACCAACAGACATGAATTTGGAAGACTTATTTCTACAGCCAATTACAATACCTCCCATTACAACAATGACCTCTGGCAGATATTTGAAAATCCTGTGGTAGGCATCGTTCATGAAGGAATTATTTTATTTTACAACCTATGTTAAAGTTTGTGTTGTAGAGGATTTAGGTGTTTTCCAGGAAATGCTATAAAAACCTATGTTTTTATTATGCACTAAGTATTGATCATATACTGCAAGTTGTTCTGCACCACCCACTTAAGTGGATAACAGTGCATCATACCTGCAAACCAACTGATGACCTGAGTAGCGTGTTGGAGATATAGCCCAGATATGCAACAGGTCTTGGGCTTTTGAGATGGTGGGATCCAGTTCATTTACAGATATGAGAAATGTTTAGTTTTCTCATGCTTTCACTTGAGCAAATGAACAGAATGTGAATTTATTTTAGTATCGTTATTAAGTGGAACAAGTGAGTCTTTAATATATCAAAATTATCTTTTTCAGGACTGGAAGGAAACCTATATAAATCCCAACTATTCCAAGATCTTCACTGATAATATAGTAGAACAGGTAGGTTTAAGTATTGCTAGAGAAAGACAAAGACTAATTGTCTTGTATAATTTGTGGGACGAACCGATAGTAAATTGGCATACAGCAATGCTGTTCTGGTTTGTGGCTTTGCACCTTGTGAGGTTTGGAGCAGAGCTATCTATTCTACTCTTCTGAAAATAGGGTGAGAGAAGTCCAAAATGTATTTCCAGCTACAAGATGCTGTGGATCAAGAGTAAATTTAATTATTTAGATGTGTCTGGAATATGACTCAGGAGAGAATTAATGATATTCTTTAGTGACACAGAACAGTGAAGAGGTCCTTGGCATGAGCCTTTTTAGCAGCTGAAAAAATATATCAATGATAACTTAATCTTATTAAAAGAAATGAATGTAGATTTTTTGTTTTTGTTTTTTTAATAGCCCTGTCCAGATGTGTTTTGGTTTCCAATATTTTCTGAGACTGCCTGTGATGAATTGGTAGAAGAAATGGAACATTTTGGACAATGGTCTGGTGGAAAACACCAAGTAAGTGTTACCTTATATAAACAAAAGAGAGTAAACTTATGCTAGGAAGTCCTACTGCACAATTCCAACATTCCAGCAATTGCTAATGACCTAAGACAGAGGCCTTCAATATAAAGTGCTTTATTTTGTCTGCCACATAACTTTCTGTTCTGCAGATTTGGAGATATTCATCAGTTAACCTTAAACTAGCAAATTTGGATGCTAACAGCAGGGCAGATGCTTATAGCACTGCAGATCCACAGCAGATAAATATTCATTGTTGTTTAGGGAAGTTCTACTCTTTTATCTCTTAAGTACTGCTTTGTCAAATTTGTCCCTCTCATAAACATAATGAGCTATTTTGTTGTATTTGCACAAAGTTCAAATTCTTTGTTAACTGTTCAAACAGGAAGATTTGTCATATTCACAAACCCTGAGTCCTGGAAATGAGATAAATTGCAGCTGTCACCACTTCACCATGGGGAGGAGCCTCCAAAAAGACTTTTCTAACATATTTTTATCTTCCTTTTTGCCATGACAACTGGAGGCTCGTGTTCTGATGACCAGATAACCTGAGTTTGCTTGCCTCTTTTTACATTGCATTCATTAAAACATTTATCTAACTTAGGAGTTTAAGAAGATAAGCCTTATATATGAACAACATATGCAAATATTGACTCACCTTTCTAAAATTTTCCAGTTTCTATTCCTTCCTTGTTACTCTGGCCTTTTTTTTTCTCCTGAAGCAGATAGCTGTGAGATTAATGTGCAGCTAGCTCAGATGTGCCCACTGGGGCAGTGCTCCCTTGTAGCTTTGTGACTTTGCAGATTTCAAGCAAGCGTGTGTAGAAGTGTCAGAAGCATCTCATGCTCATATTTCAAGGCTATTTATGGTGTTTTCATTAGGACAGCCGTATTTCTGGAGGTTATGAAAATGTCCCAACTGATGATATTCATATGAAGCAAATTGGACTAGATAATGAATGGCTGCATTTCATAAGAGAGTTCATTGCCCCAGTAACACTAAAGGTTTTTGCTGGCTATTATACAAAGGTATGTGTTTAAAAGTATTGTAAGTAATTACTGTGTGGAATGATTAATTCCGAGAATTTTAGCAATTATATCCTCTCCTGTTGGCTTGGTGAATTTGCATGCAACATACCAATAACTGCAAATAAATGTTGCTTTGATAAATCAGCACTGATGAACAAAACCTTCAAGTGTTACTTGGAAGTTCATGTGTTGGAGTCTGATTGCATATTTTGTTTCAGGGGTTTGCTTTACTGAATTTTGTTGTAAAATACAGTCCTGACCGACAACGCTCGCTCAGACCTCATCATGACTCCTCTACATTCACAATCAACATTGCCCTCAACAAAGTAGGAGAAGATTTTCAAGTAAGTCTGAAACATACTTATTGCAATCAAATGTTATTGTTTTTGAGTGTCTAACAGTTGTTTCCACACTAGGCCTCGAACGGATATACTTAAAAGCTATGTGGAAGCGGAAAAGATGCTCAGTAGAGATTGAACTATATTATTGCTGCATCTCTTTCACAGTTATTAAATTTCCTCAGTTTCGGAGTTCAAAACTATTGATGCAATCACACTGGATTAGGCACATCATTGCAGCGGAAGCCAAAGGTGGTGGTGGACTGAGTATGAAAGGAAAACTTCTGGACATAGAAACTTTTTCACTTTTTGACATTTTAGAAGTGCTTCATCTTTGTATTGTGAGAAACAGCCTTTTTAAAATTATTTTGTATGGTTCTAAGTTGACTGCAGTGGCTTCTTTCTTATCTTTTTTTAACTGACTCCTGCTTTAGTTCAGCCACAGAAAAAATACTCAGCATACATATATATATATATATATATTCACATCTTTTCATTTCATCTTATTTATTCATCTTATTGATCTTACTTCATCTTGTTAATCAGCATGTATAAATACCTTAAGGGAGGGAGAGAGAAGGATGGGGCCAGCCTCTTTTCAGTGGTGGCCCGTGATAGGGTAAGAGGTGATGGCCACAAACTGAAACACCAAAAGTTCCACAGGAACTTAAGGAAAAAATTCTTGACAGTGAGAGTGACAGAGCGCTGGAACAGGCTGCCCAGAGAGGCTGTGGAGTCTCCTTCTCTGGAGATCTTCAAAACCCGCTTGGACACAGTCCTGTGCCACGTGCTCTAGGTGACCCTGCGTGTGCAGGGGAGTTGGACTGCATGACATCTAAAGGTCCCTTCCAACATTAACAATTCTACGATTCTATTTCCTGCTTTCGGGTTTTATTTGAACAATTTAACAGCAGAATATGGAGATAGAAAGGATGGCAGAAGTAATATCCAGCCTTGACTAGTAGAGAAGCTTGATCTGCTTTGTGTATAGGGGAATCTCCTGTTTTTCACATTCATATTTAACACCCATAAGTATGTTCCCCAAACCTCTTTGTTTAGAAAATACTGTTTCTATTAGGAAATACAGCTAGGAACACATTTAATATTTAATTAAATGTTGCCCTAGGTAAAGCTGCTCTCTTGGAACAGTATCTATAAACATGGTTTGTTACTCTCTCTCTGGTGCCAAAGGGTTGTTCAATAATATATGTCAGAATTGCTGCTTGAACGAATTGTTATACAGAGAATACTAAAGTAAGATGAGGTGAAATCTCTGTTAGTGTAAATGGATGTCTGCTACATATTGCTTTGAAGATGGAATCTTGTTAGCATGGGTAGTACAACTTATTGTTAACAACTCTTTAATAATAGCAAAATATTTTAAGTTGTGAATAAATGTAAGGGAACCTATTCAAGTACAATGGAAAGTAAAAGATGCTTTTAATCTTTTGTTACAGGGAGGTGGATGCAAATTTCTTAGGTACAACTGTTCCATTGAGTCCCCCAGGAAAGGATGGAGTTTCATGCACCCCGGAAGATTGACTCATTTACATGAAGGACTTCCTATCTTAAATGGCACAAGATACATTGCAGTATCATTTATTGATCCTTAATTTTTTTTTTTTTGCCCTCTTCAGTGCCAGTGTTTGATTCCTTACAAAAACATTTATTTATAGTTTTCTTCCAGAAGACGATGCTGAAAGTAACTACTCCTAAATATCAAGAATCCTTTGGGCTAAAGAATGTGGGGGGTGGGGAAGGAAAAATGCTTTTAAATTGTTGGAGATTTTTCAAGATCTGCTCTGAGCCTTGAGTCACTAAATAAATGTATCCTGCTTATTTTTCCATTCTGCTGTCTCGAAGAATGGATAAAGAAGAAAAAGCATTTTATAATAGATCCATTTCGTTGTTACAAGAAAATCCTAGATACAAGACTATTTGAAAAAGTTATTGTGGTTTTTATTCAGTAAAGTAACACAGCTAAAGTTGTGTGGTGTGTATCTTTGGTAACAGCCATTTAAAAAAACCACATCGTAAAACACTATCAAGTGAATCTCTTATGCAGCTGTTGGGGTTAAGCAATAATTCCATTTTCTGGTATATACTTAACAGAACATCTTGGTAGGCTTTCTCCTTAATTCATTCTAAATACTGAAAATGCCACTTTAGAGGAAAAATAAATTAATTGCAGAGATGGACTATTGATTATATATTTTAGCTAAGAAAAAATGTTTTATAATTTGTTTCAAGAATTCATCCTCTTAAAAACACGTTTTTTTCACCAAGTGTCCTTTAAATGAGTTATTTTTCTAAATATGTAATTGCACCCAACTGATACTGGAAATCTGTTTATTTTTAGAACACTGGTAAATTTTAATATCAGGTTGTTTTATAAAGACAACTTTCTATTCTTATTTAAATTTACTTGAATTGTGTATCAGGAAAATGAAATTGTGGAAATCTCTCTTTTAAAGCTAAGGGTTTCAACTTTAAAGAAATAAGTTTAAGAAGATTCTTACTGTATCTACTGTCTGTAATTTAAAGAAACTTGAAGGAAACAAACTCATTCAACTGTGCCAAAATGCACAATGTGTTGGAAAAATTTGTGAAAAATAAAGGGTAATTTTAAGTTAATACAACAGGTTTTACTTTGATTGCCTTAGGTGGATTTTTTTTTTCTTTTTGCATTTTGTTGTTTCCTTAGATTATATTTACTAAAATAATAATTTTAAAAGGAAATGTAAATATATTTTGACTGCTCTTTGTGTTATCAGGTTTCACCTTATTTGGGTTAGCTGTAGAAATTTTCTTTTGTGAATTTGTGCCTATGTCCCAGAACTTGTGCCTTGTGTTAGAGATGCACACGGAAGGGGCGGCCATGGTTTTCCTCCTCTGTGCCAGCCTTTCATTTGCAGATAGCAGAGGGATTTTGGTGCTCTGAACATGAGATCACTTTCCACCTGCAGTTATTCGAAGAAACTTTAAATTGCTTTTCCTAAACAGAAGCTTTATTCAGAGCTGAAAAGATGGTGGAAGTATTTGCAAATTATTTTTATCCCAGAGAAGCAAGTCTGCTTATTTCCTTGTTCTGTTGTTTCGAGCTTGGGGAATAACTGGGCTTAAAGTCATGCTGAAGCCAATACTTTAAAGCAAATACATTAATGTAGTACTTCTGATGAAGTGGGCTGGTTTGGGAATGAATGGCTTTTCTCAATATATTATTTTTCCTTCAATTTTTCTTTACTCTGTCAACTCTTCTCCATTTCAGGTTAGAATTGTCAAACTGATAAATTAATCTCCTGATTTTTATTTCCATGTTTGAAACAGCCAAGTCCTGGGGAGTTTCCTGTCTGGGCAGCCCCTTCCCTTTTCTGCCTGTGCTTTAGCAAATGTTACTGCTGAGGAAAGCACATAATTTCTTGTTCAATTTGTAGGCTATTTGCATGTTTTTTGCTTCTGCATCGCTTTTTGTTTTTTCTCTCAACATTTACGGCTTTATGTACTGCTAGATTTCCATGTTTACGTTTATTAATTTCACTCTGTCCTCTCTAATGGTATGTTTTAATGTGCTGCATGTTTCTTGGAGATGAAAATGTTTGCCAGGCTGCGGTCCACATTAAGAAAAGCTTCTTGTTGTATTTCTTTTCATGAATCATTTGCCAATGTTAACAGTTCCCTGTCGGGTAGGTGGCAGTGCACACAGTGAGCAACAGAGCCTCATTCACTCCTCAGACATTGACAGATACCAGAAAAAAAAATTGTTTTGAATAGTTCACCTGAATCACTTCTGAAAGCTTTACTGTACTGCTAGTGTTCATACAGGCTAAACAGAATTGCCACTGTGGGAAATTTATTTAATTTTCAGTAATTCTAAATGAAATTCAAAAAAAAAAAAAGAGTTCTCTAACCAAACTAGATTTTGGCTGTAGAAGATAAATTCATCTGGAGGAAGGGTAGTAGCCTTAATTTCACCAGTGTATGTGAGACTGTAGGAGTACAAGGACATAATGGTGCTCTGCAACAAATAAGACACTTATAAAATATCTGATCTCTTTTGCTTTCACCTACCTTTATTTTTTTTCCACTGGTAAATAATTGAATCTGACATTTAGTGGTTTGGATAAGGGGAGGGAGAGCAGAATATGGGAGGGAGAAAATTCCTTTTTTTTTTCTTTTTTTTTTTTTTTAAGCAGCAAAGTGTAGTTTTGGAATGTGGAATGTTTTTATTTGTTTATTTTTCCCTTCCTCTATTTTTCATATTCATAGAAAACTCTGCCTCTCTAACACTCCTAAGCAATGTTCAGGCAATATCCTATGGAGTTGTCTCATACAAGAATCCTCTGAGATAATCTAACCAGATGAAATGTAGCCAAGGTACTTGGAGGCATCAGTTCAAAGGTAGGATTTCACTTGACTTAATTACAGCCTCCAATGTCAGTGTGAATGTGGAAGTTGCAGAGTTGAAAGTTTGCTCTGTGTAATGGACAGTAATGCCACAGGGAGCACTTTGGAGAAATTCTGTGCCAGGTAGGTAGTGGAGATGATTTTCCTCTAAAGTCTTTGTGTTTTTGAGTCTTGAGTACTGTCCTTTCTGTGCCTGCCCGTGCTCCTGCTTCTGGTTTGCAATTGTTGGATCTCTTCATGTATGAAGTCATGTGGTGATTTATTCAGGAATTTGTCATCTAGCTTGAAAGCAGAATATTTTTATTTCTGAGAATTTTAGTCAAATGTGAAGAGAGCTGTTCAAATACTAATGGCTTTGTACCACTTTGTTTCCTTCCTTTTTGAGGGAATGGAAGGGGAGGATGGGACAAGAGAGGAAGAAGAAAGCAGACCATATTTAGTATAAACTACTTTCTCATACTAACATCTGATTTAGGACAATCTGGGCATGAAAATGTTGCATTTTCATAGCTTCATCTGGAATGGCAGTTAGATCCATACTTAAAACCCATGAGATATTCTACAATGCTTTAAGATATCAAGGCCTATTCTTCAAAGTAGGCACAGCTAATGCTTTAAACTTAATATTTTAAATTTTCTTCTGACTTATGTTTCTATCTTTCAATATATGCATTCCTCCATTGGTGAAATGTGAAATTCTGCAATTTTACTTTTTAAAAAAATCTTTGTTTTTATAGTGCTAACTTCTATTTTTAAATTAGAAAATCATTTTCTTCCAATCATGGAAAATAAATACTCCTCTCCATGTAGCAGAGCAGGACTAGAACCATTGCTCAAGTCTCAGTTGCTTAAAGTGCCTTTGTGACTGGCAGTGGCAATATCTTATTCTGCAAGAATGCATCCAACCTCTGTTGTTAATATTGGAAGGAGATACCTTTCTCCATCTTCTTAGGGAAATCTCTATCATCTTAGCAGAAAGGAGAGATGGAGTCAGTGAGTGTACTGAGAGACCATCTTATTCGGTTCTGAGCCCTGGTTGTTTTCAGCACAAAGATTACAGAGGAGTTTTGTTTCAACACTGCAGTTGGAGCTGGTTTAGTGGCTCCCTGGAGACCTGACGCATATAAAGATCTTGGAGAAAACTGACTGTGCTTTGTAAGGATGAAGTCTCCGGGTATTTTAGCTCTTGAATTCTAGGAAGTCTCTGAGCTTATGGAGATGTGATTTCGCCCTGTCTGTAGACATCTAACTACTTGGAGTCAGCAGTACCTGAAGGCATTTCTGTAAGAGATGTTATGTCCCAAAGGTACAAGGACATTACAGCTTTTTAAAGCGTGTTCACCAGCATAACATAGGAACAATGAACAAAAATTTAAAGCTGTAGAGATTTAGGCACAAATAACTAAAACTCGTTTTTTATCTTCTATCTCTTTTTATCTTCTGAAATACTGGGTAATGTTAATGGTACGTGGGTTGGTGCACAATGAACTGCTGGAATTGCTGACACAGACAAATTTTGAGACTCGTCTTCTCTGAGTTGCTTTTTTAAACTCTGATTCATCAGCAAACATGAGCTATTTGAAATGTTTCATCTTTATTTAAAACATACCATATAAAATAGCGCAGGTGCACAAGGTGAAACACTGTTGTGCCTTAAAAATTCATTTCATACTCTTTCGGAGTGGAGCTCTTTATAGCATTACTTGCAATAAGATAAGTTTCCTAATTTTTGTACTTCAGTCAGAGGCATTAATCAGCCAGGATAGAGCTCTGGCCATTTGAAATATGAAAATCTTTGTTCTCTTAGATGACTTTGTCCATCCCCTCATCAGTCAGGTGTATGCACTCATGTTGCTTTCTGTCCAAACCATATTCCCTTTGTGTCTCCTGTTTGCCTGATAGCAGATTTCCAATTGGAACAAAACAATAGCATGGATGGCAGCCTACCTGTGCATATACTCAGTCAGGGCTAGGGAAGGCAGCACTCATTTTAAATTGTTTTTGAAATGTAAAATTTATCTCTTTCTTACATGATAGTGAAAGATGCTTTAGCATCAGAAACAGTGAGTTAATATATATTGAGGACATCACTGACATATGTTTCTCAACAGAACATGAAAATTTTTTTTTTTCTTATTGTACTATTCCCTCCTCTCTAAATATCATGGATGCAAAGGGAATAGGAACTATCATAAATTATCAATAGTATTATAAGTTCATGGCAGAAGTAGGAAGATGAGATCCTCTTTATTTGAACCAGAAGATAAATGCTGGATTTTTTTCCTCATTAGGTAGACCTAGCTTACATGTAGTTCTTCCATTATAGACATGGAAGATTGAA